TTAATGCATCCTGCAGAATGTAAGTAATTAATTTCTTTAACAAAACAAAAAACAACAACTTATTGACCCCAAACTTTTCAATGGTAGTGTGTAAATTATAAAGCCAGTAAATCAGATCCCCTGTGATTTTTTTTTTTTTACTTTTGGATGTTTTACTTATTTTATACACCTTTCAAATAACTTTTATTTAGACTATTTTATACACTACATAAGTACATAATGGTATGGCAGTACTCTGTCACAGTCATGCCAAATAAAGCTCTGAGACGAAGCAAGACACACACGCGCACACACACACACACACACACACGTTTACTTAGCTATCTAAATGGGGACATTCTATATGCGTAATGGTTTTTATGCTGTACAAACTGTATATTCTATTGCCCTACACCAACCCTATACCTAAACCTAACCCTCACAGGAAACTTTCTGCATTTTTACAATTTAAAAAAAACTTTGTTTACTTTATTTTTATACCAGTTTTACAAATGAGGACGTCCCCAAAGGAAGGTTTTTGGAGATTTTGTCAGGTTTAGCTCACTTTTGGGTACAAATTTGTCCCCAAAATATAGTTAAGTTGGTTACACACACACACACACACACACACACACACACACACACACAGAGTTTGAAAAAGTCTCCTCAACCTCTCTTACAAAGATCCCAAGCCTCTCATGAAGCACTTACCCACATCAGCTGTTGTCTCTTGAGACTCTTGAGTGTCTGGGAGTGTGTCTGTCAAATTAGGGTACATCCTACGCTCGGTGAGTGTGTTTGCTGTACCGCAAAGAACCTCTCTCAGCATGCTCTCTGGGTGTGAAGCTCACAAAATTTCCTGAGGACCTGGAAGAGCCTTGTGTGAAGTCCAGCTGAATCTCTATGGTCATTAGAGGATTGCTCAGGTCCTGTTTCTTCTCTTCCTTTTACTGGTTGTAAAACTCTCAGTTCCTCAGCGTTTTCTTGTAGGTCTAACAGATGAGATCATTCTCATGTGAGAGTATTAGCTGGCTGGCTGAATCTACCATATTTTCAAGTGTATTCATTAAGAGCCTTGGAGCATAAACTGAGGATTTGATTATTAGAGAAATAGCAGGTGATACAAAATAGCTTCTCTCTGTCTCTCCTTCTCTCCCTGGTAAACCCAGTATTTACCACTCCAGGCTTGTAAAATAGGGTCATCATGGCAACAGTTGTGTCTGTACACAAAAGATTCAATTCTAAAGAAGAGTAATGTCTATCTGTGATTGCATATTTCAAATATTTAAAATGGAATTTATTCCTGTTATAGCAAAGCTGAATTTTTATCAAGCAATTATTAAGTCTTCGGTGTCACATTATCCTTCAGAAATCATTCTAATATTGATTTGATGCTCAAACTATTTATTATTATTATTATTATCAATGTTGAAAACAGTTGTGTTGCTTTATTTATTTATTTTTGTGGAAACGGATACATTTTTTTTTCAGGATTCTCTGATGACCTCACAGTTCAGAGCAGGCTTCCAGCATTCATGAAAATCATATTATTTTCTTGAAAGCTACTGCAGCAAATTAAATAATGTAATTAAGCCCCACATAAATGCCAGTGTTTACAAAAATTAACAAAATCAAATGTTTTGCATATGAGTTGAGAAAAGATTTTAAATAAGCCAGCTGACATTTTAGATGACTAAATGCAATAAAAACTCAGAATAGCTTTCTACTTTCTCTACATTCTACTTATCTACTTCTGAAAAGCTACAGAGATTTAAAACCGTCATGTGGTCAAATGTATTGGGCATTCCTGCAACTACTGCAGACAATCTCTGTAAATATTCAGACAGCACACTCGGACCATTAAGAATATCGCACACAAAAATGGCAAAGGCTCCCTTAAAATGACAGGCTCTGAATTAGCTGGCTTTATAATCTAGGAGAGAAACATTAAGTGGTGGGTGCAGTCTGTGCAGAACTTATTGCAGAGCTATATTTCTGTATTATGGCCATTGTGCTCTTATAATGAAAGTAGCCTCATCATTTGGAAGAGTGTCTCTTTTGCAGTGAACTATATCTCTTCATCATAAGGACTCTGCACATGACCTATATGACCTGACATCACACAAAGATCAGCAGGGTATGAAAACACTATAATGTTGAATATGTACATAGACACCTGGATATGAAGTCAAGTCTAGTCACCTTTATTTTTTTTTTATAGCGCTTTATACAATACTGATTGTGTCAATAAGATTGTGCAAGAGGACAATAACAAAGAGTCATTTTTCAGCTTAAGTCAGTTCATTGATGATTCAGTGATGTCATCATCCAGTTCAGCTCTCTTCCAATAGTGCCTGTGCAATTCATATTGCTGGCAAAATGTTATATACATAAACAAAAATGCTTAAATTCATCCCCAATATTTAAGGTATTTTTAGTGGAATTTGATTGTTTTATATCTTCTCTGAAATTGTTAAAAAACAGAAAGTCATTAACATGTTTAAAATATTATGACATTATTTTCAGTGCCCGTTACTAATTAATGTCACACTTTGTATAGCACTGACTGTCTTATGGTATGCTCTGTTTGTTATTTGTTCTATTTTCATTAATAAAAAAAAATAGTGCCTGTGCAATCAGTCAAACAGACAGTTTATTTGAAATATAGGATAAATATTTCAAATTCTTGTAGGCCTAGTTTCAATTATGATCTGGATGCTACTATTTTTAGCTAAAATATGTTAATTAATTATACAATTATATATTGTTTGTGTATTTAAAGCAGCACTATGTAACTTTTTGTGTGCAGGTACATTCATGAATTAATCTTCCAAACCGCGTTTTTGTCTTATTCCGAATCACTACGGTACACTTATAATAAGTACTTATATTTGGACTATTGTAGCCTGGTCGGGTCGTCATCGCTGCGGCGTAACACATACCTGCGTGAATCGCCATAGACATAAACTTAGAGAAATAGCTCCGGTTGGAATGTTCTTCCGCGGGATGTGTGCAGTTCTGTTTATTAACGGCTAGAGCGCCAAAAGTTACATAGTGCTGCGTTAAGACTTCAAAACACAGGGAAAATAAAATGTTGGAATTTGGCGCCATCATGTGGTAAAGTTATGGAATTGCACATATAACGGCGTTACTTTAGGTGGTGATAAAGCGGCTTATGACAGCTATTATGAGTCAAGCTTGTTCTTTAATAATTTTACATGACATCTTTTATATCTCAGCCATGCATGTACATGAATGCGTTTCTTCAACTTCAGGCACTTTTATATTTGAGTTGATATTTATTAAAGCTTTTTTTCCTACTGCATTATGAAATTCACATTAAAACTTGGAAATCTTTTTCTATGCCTTTATTTTTTTCTACTTGTCAGTTGCTTTTATACACATTTTTAAATGCTAATCTTAAAATGTTAATCTAAACAATACAAAATAAACATAATCAATTTTTTAATATTATGTGTCAGTGCATTAGGCCTATCATTTTCCAAAAATTACAGCTATCCCTAAGTTGTCTCAAGTTCTTTCCATTGCAACCAACACATTTTTACAACAAAAGTTAGTATAGGCCTACTTTTTTTCTTTGACCAAAGAGACAATAGTGAGATAAAATGAGATGTGATGTATGAAGAAAAGAGAACATTTAAAGTTAACATGTTTGGACAAAATATTTTGTGCATAATTCTTCCCAATCATGGTGTGATTGTTTTAAATGCAATTGTCAAATGTTTAGAATGTAATTTACACCACTGTGATCTCAATCACAAAATGCTGCTTAACACAATAAAAATTTGCATGTTGGTGGAAATGTTAATAATGTTTGGCAAAAAAAGGACAAATGTACAGGAAAGCATACTGTGATGTATGTCCACTAGTTGCCAAAATAGGCCATGCCAACAGGGCCAAAAGTGCCCATAGTTGAAAAGACACACACACACAGAGTGCAAGGTTATCACGTAATATGACTTAAAGATTCTGGTTTGACACATAACATACCACACAATTCTGAATCCTCTCTTCTCTTAGTATTCAACTTTTTAATAGCCGAAGAAATTGGTTATCTGAGAAAAAGATTTATACATGTATTTGAATATTCCAGCAGCTGTGCTTTTGTGCGCTGTCGTTGGGCTGACCTGAATTTGCAGATTTCCTCTCAGACCTATTGGTTACTGTTGATAAAAGGCTAATTGTCGGAGATTTTAACATTCACGTTGATAATACAAATGATGCATTAGGACTTGCGTTTACTGACCTAATAAACTCTTTTGGAGTCAAGCAAAACGTCACCGGGCCCACTCATCGTTTTAATCATACGCTAGATTTAATTATATTGCATGGAATAGATCTTACTGATATAGATATCGTACCTCAAAGTGATGATGTTACTGACCATTTCCTTGCATCGTGCATGCTGCGTATTACTGATATTAACTACATGGCTCCGCGTTATCGTCAGGGCAGAACTATTGTTCCAGCCACCAAAGACAGATTCACAAATAACCTGCCTGATTTATCTCAACCTGTTTGATTACGTCTTTAATCGATTTTTCCGTACATTTCTGCCATATGTACATTAACTGACAGTCACCACTGATAAGCTACCACTAAATATTGTAGAAACTTAATTTGCTGTAAAGTTGCTTTGCAACGATTTGCATTGTGAAAAGCGCTATACAAATAAACTTGAATTGAATTGAATTGAACCTGACATGAATTCCTGCAGAATCCTTCGCTGGAGGCGCATCAAGCTGCAACATGCAGAAGAGAGGAGAGATACGGCGTTTTACTGATTCAAAGACTGAGAAAGAGACATTTCTGCAAACTGATCTAATTAGCAACATTATTATATTGTCATGTTATTTGAATTGTAAGTAAATCTATCTGATGTCTGGGCACATGTTTACAGCGGTGTAATATTAAGGCTCGGTTGGTTGGGCACGAGGTGCGTCAGCGTAGCCTGGGTATGGCGCAGGTAGGCGTGGAGAGCCGCGCGCCTAGAATCGAAATCCGGAACGACATGATGAAGACAAGCATTTTCAAACTAAGCAGATAGTTACAATTTCGCGTCAGAAAGTTACAGCGACAGTTTGACAGCAAGAAGGGTGGTCACGGTTTGAGGTACGTTTCGAGAAAATACTTCTATTCCCTAACAACAGTTGCTTTGAGATTTCGCTTTGAGCGCGTCACTTTCGTTACTGGCTTTATGGAATTGTGTTATTGTACTTAAATTGTCATAAATCAGATTAGTTAGCCAAACTAATAACTGGGTTACAATCTTTTATTTTGTAGTGGGTTTTTCTCAGCTTGTTCAAACATGTTACGCTCATTCACTCGGGCCATCAAAACTAAAAAGTGGCAATAGTTAAAGAAACACCCACATACACTAAGTGCAAAATTTTCACGTGTCCTGTACAAAGTATTCATGCAAAAGAAATGTTTTCTACATTATTGATAACATTTGTTATCATGAAAGACAACAAATGCTTGTTGACATAAAAAGATTTACTTTGTTGTTTAACCAAGTCTGAGCTGTAGATTTTTTATTTTTACTTGTTTTTTAATATAAACAAATAATAGACCGCTGTATGCTGATTCTTGTGTGCCATGCTGAAGATTTGATTATAATGTGATGTAGTGATGTTTCGTTCGTGAACGAATCGTTCTTTTTGAACGAATCTTTTAGGTGAACGAATCGTTCTCGTTCACGTAATCCATTGACTCAGGCTGTGTCCGAAATCGCCCCCTATACCCTCATTCACTATTCCCTACATTAGGTCACTAATTCAGCAGTGCATTGTGGGATTGAATGAGTGCACTCGAGAACGTCCACTATGGTTTCGGACACAACTAAAAATGGCTGTTCCCTCAAATAGCGCCCTATTTAAGGGTATAGGGGGCGATTTCGGACACAGCACGAATCAGTGAACGAATCTGAACGAATCACTTTGGTGAACGAACTGAAAATGAACGAATCTCTTGAAAGAATCAACATTTCAACTCAAGCTGCATGTATTTATGCTGTGAAACATTTCTAATAGCTGGACTTTGCTCTTTAGTGGTGTATTTTTATGGGAGAGAAATGCCTGGTATGCATGACTCAAGAGTAAAATGGGGAAAGCAGAGTAGCCAAGTAGTCTTCAAATGCTTAAAGTTCACCCGAAATGAAACTCCTGTCATTATTTACTCACCCTCATAATGACTTTATTCTGGGGAACAGAAAAGGAGATGTTAGGCGGATTGACAGTCTCAGTCACCATTCACTTTCACAGACTGTTATTCTGCCTAACATCCCTTTTTGGGTTTCACAGAATGACATGAGGGTGAGTAAATAAAAATTTTTTTTTTGCTGAACTGTTCATTTAAGCACATTCTTTGTGTACAGTCTTTACACTATATAATCGCTGTGGTTTACAGTGGAAGTCAGGCACGGGCCTACATGCTTGTGCTTGTTATGAAGACTAGAAAATGGCATTGCAACATTTTTTTGCAGGTGAAAGTGGGACATTTGTGTTGTAGAATATACAAATGAATCCAGTTTACAACGTTAACAAAAAGTCCATCTGACAGATTAGCTTTATGTTTTTGTGAAGCAGTTTGGGTGTTCCTGTGCATCTAGATTAAAGGAGTAGTTCACTGCCAGAATGAAGAGATCATTTACTCACCCTCCACTTGTTCCAAACCTGTATGCGTTTCTTTGTTCTGTTGAACACAAAATAAGATATTTTGAAAAATGTTGGGATCTGAACAGTTGATGTGCACCATTGACTTCCATGGTGTTTTTTTCCTACTAGTCAATTGTGCCCATTAACTGTTCGGATCCCAACATTTTTCTAAATATCTTCTTTTGTGTTCAACAGAAGAAAGAAACTCAGTAAATGATTCAAAGACTGAGAAAGAGACATTTCTGCAAACTGATCTAATTAGCAACATTATTATATTGTCATGTTATTTGAATTGTAAGTGAATCTATCTGATGTCTGGGCACATGTTTACAGCGGTGTAATATTAAGGAGTAAATGATGACAGAATTTTCATTCTGGAAGTGAACTACTCTTTTAATATGAGCAATTGATTAACCTGTTTGTACAGGTAGAATGAAGTTAAATTGTGCAACGATTTATTGTTGTCTTTGAGCTTTTGAGAAAACACAACACACCTTTTGTTGTATTTTGTTATAAGTTGTCTCAGTTGGTTTTGTTTGCAAATACAAACAAACACAGTACTAGAATTGCTTATCAAGTAGACTGTAAAAAAAAACAGGCTTTGAAATGATTATGATCATTGAACTGCGTAGGACCAACGATATGCAAAATAAAATTCCTCAATAGAAATTGGTGAATTAAAATTGAATTCATTTGGTGAATGCATAAATAATAGAAAGTGTGATTTATGGTTTTTGTTGATTTGTTGTGATGCTTTGAAGACATTATTACTTTCTTGTGGAAAAAGGTTTCTAAATGTCTCTTGAGATTTGATAGATTCATGCTCTCATCGGACAATAATTCACTGCCATTTATCCTTGCTGTAAGTGAAACTGTATTTAATGTAGTCTGATTCGAATGTTCTTTTACCTTGGATAGTTATTTTTTTGCATTGTTTTCAGGAATGAGAGCATGTCATGCAGCCTGAATAATCTGAATAATTTGCCAGCTTCTACCAAGTGACAGATTAATTTGCAGCCAAAACAACAGATATAGAAAGTATTTTCTCCTCCATTAAAAAAACAAGTTCAGAAGTTTAAAATATGTTTTTGTCCAATTATATGGTTAGTTAGATTTTATTATTTGAATATTAAATAGTTTTTTCCCTTCTGTCTGCGACTGTTATGGAACAGATCTGCAACTCATTTCACTGAGGAAAGCAGTGAATTTCTGTATTGGCAGGATATGCTGTGCTACTCTGTAATTCATGAAATATACTGTGTGTGCCCGTGTCTGAACTGGTAAAACTCTGCTGCATGTCAGTGCAGGTTTAGAGGTTGTGAAAGCATTGGTTTGTTTCAAAGCTGTGATGTTTTAGCCAGTTACCCAGACAGATTTTCAGATCTGAAAAAATCTGATTTGTTAAACAAGCCTTAAACTGATCGGATCCGAACAGCCTTTTATGCTTACTGAACAAAACCTTGCAGTCAGTCTGGTAGAGTTACTGTAAATGTTACGGTACAGCTTAGTTTTATATAGTAAAAACCTAACCGACTGAACTGCAGTAATGGAATCTAATTTCCATCTTATTAATTTTTGTATTGCTTTTCTTTTTGTGGTTCTTTATATTCAAATAAGGATAAGGAAATGTTTTACATAAGTTTCAATAATCAATTGTAAAATGTAGTTCATATTATCGTAGGTTTATCTTAGGATAACTCAAACTACGCTTCACTACAACCCGACAAAATAAAATTTGGTTTAACTTGAAGAAATGTTGACAGAAATATATTACTGTTGTACAGTAGAATCTACTTCTCAAAGTAATAAATAACAACAACAATAATACAGTTTATACAACAATATCACACATTTTTTCATCTGTGTTTTAATTTTAACTGTAAACTTCTGTTGTACAACACTTGTTTGCCAAAAAATGGGCAGGCGTGGCCCGATATACAAGGCTTATATCCAAAAAATCCTCTATTGTGTGGTGCCATTGCAATTATTTAACTGCTCCCGATCGAAATGAGAGAGAGCAAGTGTCCCCTACCGGATGTTGCGTACTTCTGTAGCTGAAACTTGGCAGCCACAAACATGCCACGAAAGTGGAGTATTGAGAAAGATCACCCATATTCTTTTTCTACGTTGTTTTCTCTGTAAACAGAACGTGCTCCAGGAGAGCCAGCTGACAATGTTGATTGTCCTCCATTTGTTTTTGTTCTCAAGTTATGTTTGATCTCGCGAGTCTCTGTGAGAACTCGTGTCACTAGTGTGAAATCATTTCAACCATAGATATGTATAGGTAGATCCCTCATTAATGATGGTTTGTGTGGGCTGCTATACGTTAGCCGTCCGCCATATTGGAATATCTGCGCTAATGACAGACTTAAGCTGAATTTTAAGACCAATGCTGTTTTCAACGATCGAACAAGCTTACATACCTTTCCTTTTTGAAGTGCCGACGTCCTGGCTTTGTAAATGCATAACTTACAGCAAATGCATACAGTTTCGAAGTGTTTATCCAAACATCTTGGGAGATTCTCTTGCTCCCTGTATTTGGCGCGCTGTGTTCCTGACTGTGCTCGTGCAGTGTCATGAACTGCGCAGACTCGGATCACTTCTGCCACTGGTTCAGTGGCTTGCATTTTGTTTACCAAATTATGTTATGTACCAACATATAATATGCACTCTCGTTTAGATCATCAGAAGACTAATTCATAGATACTAAACATGGTAGGGTTACATATATGTAAGATGACATGAATGAGTGTTTCGATCATAAGCCTGCATAAAACAGTATAAAATATCAACATACAACATACACAATGACCTGAAGGATATGTGTGTTCATTCAAAGAAAGGTTTTCCTATGAATTAATTAGAAAAGAGTCAATTTCTACTGTGCACTGTGTCTCTTCCTTATGAAAAAGGCAGTGATTTTCCCTACTTACATTCCATTAGGTCGTAAATGTATCTGGTCTAGCAAAGGTTGGTTGGTTGCCATGGGGAACAGGGGGGGCCTGGTGTCGTTGCAGACATCCTGGCACCCAGTTTATTGGGTGAGGGGACTGTGATGATTTGTTAATCTAATGAATAACTGATTTGTTAAATCAAATGAAAAATTGTGTGTTTGATTGGTCCAGACGCTACAGCTGCAACTGTAATTATACCATAGACTGTATAAAATATGTACATAGTGTCCGTGACGTCACTCGTAGGTTTCTAAAGAGCATTTTTGAAGCCCAAAATGGGCGGAGCCGGCAATCGCCATCTTGGCAGTGTGTCACCGCGCGTCACTCCTGGATAATAAAAAATGGGCAAAGAGGCGTGGAGCTGGTTGCTGAAACCACGCCCGCCTAGCTCGACGGTAGTGACAGCAGTGGCAATCCACCTGTCACTCAAGTGGCCACGCCCTTATTTATACAGAACTTTAAGGTTTAATATAATTTAAATGGATGAGTTATAAAAAATTCA